ACTCTGTCAATCCCAGGATTGGCATATTAACTACTTCCTTCCCACTGTGCTCCTGTAAAGCAGAGGGTATTTGCAGATGAGAGAAACGAGACACGGGGAGGTCAAAGCTCTGGCCCAGGTGAAACATCATAATAGAAACAGGGAATGAATAGTGTAATGCTTTATCAGCACACTTAATTCACCCTTCACACTTTCTAAAAAAGATTTATTTTTATTCTTCATGTGTTGGTGTCAGCCTGCATGTGTGTTGTGTGTTTTGTGTACCACATAAAAGATTTATTTTTATCCACTTATACGTGAGTATATACTATGTGTCTCTTTCTGCTTCTGGGATACCTCTCTCAGGATGATCTTTTCTAGTTCCATCCATTTGCCTGCAAATTTCATGATATCCTTGTTTTTCATAGTGTATATGTACCTAATTTCTGTATCCATTCTTTGGTTGAGGGACATCTGGGTTGTTTCCAGCTTCTGGCTATTACAAATAAAGCTGCTACGAACATGTTTGAGCAAACGTCCTTGTTGTATACTTGAGCATCTTTTGGATATATGCCCAGGAGTAGTATAGCTGGATCCTGAGGCAGAGCTATTCCCAATTTTCTGAGAAAGTGCCAGATTGATTTCCAAAGTGGTTGTGCAAGTTTACATTCCCAAAAGCAATGGAAGAGGGTCCCCTTTCTCCATATTCTCTCCAGCATGTGTTGTCACTTGAGTTTTTTATCTTAGCCATTCTGAGGGTGTCAGGTAAAATCTAAGGGTCATTTTGATTTGCATTTCGAGAATGACTAAGGATATTGAGCATTTCTTTAAGTGTTTCTCTGCCATTCGGTGTTCCTCTGTTGAGAATTCTCTGTACCCCATTTTTTAATTGGATTACTTGGTTTGTTGGTATTTAACCTCTTGAGTTCTTTATATATTCTGGAAATTAACCCAGTGGGTATTATCCATATAATATAGGATAAACATAATAAAATCTATAGTCCTAAAGAAGCTAAACAACAAGGAGGACCTAAGGGAAGATGCGTGTGTACTCCTCAATCAGAAGGGCAAACAGGATAAACATCAGAAGTAGGAGAAGACAGGGAACAGGACAAGAGCCTTCCACAGAAGACCTCTGAAATACCTAGCAGGGTATTAAAGCAGATGCTGAGACTCATAGCCAAACTTTGGGAAAAGTACGAGTAATCTTACGGAAGAAGGTGGAGATAGAAAAACCTAGAGAGGACAGGAGCTCACCAAGAAAACCAACAGGGCCAAGAAATCTGAGCTCAGGAGGTCCTGCAGAGACTGATGAATCAACCAAGGACCCTGCATGGAGGGGACCTAGACCCCTCTGCTCAGATGTAGCCCATGGGCAGCTCAGTCTCAGTGTGGGTTTCCTAGTAAGGGAAGCAGGAGCAGTCATTGGCATGAACTTGGTTGCCTGCCCTTTGATCACCTCCCCCTGGCAAGGTGGCCTTGCTAGGCCACAGAGGAAGAGGATCCAGGCAGTCCTGATGAGACCTGATAGGCTAGGGTCAGATAGAAGGGAAGGAGGACCTCCCCTATTGGTGGACTAAGGGAGGGACACAAGGTGGGAAGAGGGAGGAAGGGTGGGACCGGGAGGAGATGAGGGAGGGGGCTATAGCCAGGATACAAAGTGAATAAGCTGTAATAAATAATATAACAATAAATGAAAAGATCTATTTTTACTCTCCGTGTCCTGGTGCGGGCCTGCATGGTGCACGCGCACTACCTACATGCAGGTACCTACCCATACCAGAGTGGGAGTCACAACCCCAGCTCCAGACTGGAGTTACAGGCAGTTGTGAGTTGTCTTTCGGGTGCTGGGAACTAAACCCTGGTTCTTGTAAGATCAGCAGTAGTTCTTAACCGCTGAGCCATCCTTCCAGGCTGCCTCCCTCGCCTGAAGTCTCCAGTGAGGGAAGGGAGGTCAGCCTGGAGGGGTGGTAGAGGTCAGCAGCATAGATTCACTTCAAAGCGAACAAACTCTGAAGCCATAATTAACCGCTAAGCCAGAATGCAGATGAGACACCATTAAAGACAGAGCTAATCACCCTACTTTCATCTGAGGCAAGATATCAGAAATAGGATAAATAAGAAAATTTTAACGAGAGAGTAGAAAAGTGGAAGATGAAGGCGGAAGACACTGGGCTTCTTTTCCACGGTCAGGAGTTGCCCGCACCAGGTGGCCCAAGGCCCTTCCACTTCCACAGACTCTCAGGGCCGCCTTCAAGCTAGCCTGAATGTGCTGTGACAGTATTTACAATGGCTTGATCCCAGTTGTTAAAACTATAGTCAGCAAAATGTGCACAACCAGGAGCACGGCTCCCTGGCTAAGAGCATGTCCTGCTCTCTCCAGGGCCAGAGCTCAGCTCCCAGCTCCCTCATGTCGCTCCCAACCATCTACAATTCCAGTCCAGGGATCCACGCCCTCTTCTGACCTCCATGGGCACCAAGTGTGCACAGACACACAGTCAGGCAAATACACACGTAAAACACAAGTATAATTTTAATGCAAACGGTAAACAAGGTTTCGTGCCCTGACAACCAAGGAGAATCTACAGTTTGGGGGAGTGTGTGTGTGTGTGTGCGCGCGCGCGTGTGTCGCATGTGTTTATATGTATGTGCAGACTTAGGTGTCTGGCACAAGCGCACACGTGTGCGCACACACGTGGAAACCAGAAGCGAAGACAAGGCATTTTCCTCTATAGATGACAGATAAATTATAGATATATGCATAGATAGATGATTGATAGATAGAGGCCATAGCAGATACACAGATAGATCGATAGATAAATAGATGACAGTTACAGATGACAGATTCGTGGATACACAGACAGGAAGACAGACAGATATACAGATATACAGGTGAGGAGACGGCGTGCCCTCACTGAACCCAGAGCTCATTGGTTGCATAAACGCTCTGGCCAGGGACCTGGCACCCTTCTGTCCCTGCTCTCCCCAGTGCTGGGATCACAGATGTGCGGCCAAACCCACCGTTTACTTGGGTTCTAGGGATCTGAACATAGAACCTTATGCTTGCTCGGCTGAATATCACCCGGCTGAGACCTGAAGCAGGGACCAAGTCTGGGAGGGCGTGTCCTGGGCAGAGCAGCCTGAAGGGGCGTGTCCTGGGCAGAGCAGTCTGGGATGTAGGGCTGTGGGACTAGGGATGTAGCTGGTTGACAGCCTGCTGGACTAACACACGCAAAGCGCAGGTCCCATCCCCACTACACGGTCAACCAAGTGTGGTGCTGTACTTGGGAGGAGGAGGCTGGAGGGTCAGGAGTTCAAGGTCATCCTCAGCTACACAGGAAGTTCAACACCAGCCTGGGACACAAGAGACCATACCCCAAAAATCGAAGAGGGAATGGATTAAGGGTTACAGCAAGGTCAAGTCGGCTATAAAATCCAGCCTTCCTTGTATCTCACCACACCACGATGGCCCAGCAAGCACCCAGCAGAGCCATGCCCCACCCCACCTCATCCCATGCCCACCTCGTCCCACCCTGCCCCACCTCATCCCATCCCCCACCCCACCCTACCCCTTGTCCCACCTCATCCCATGCCCACCCCAGCATGCCCCACTCCAGCATGGCCCACCCCACTGCACGCCCCACCCCATGACTCATCCCACCCCATGCCCCAGCCCAAAACGCCCCACTCAACACCATGACTCACCCCACCCCACCCATGTCCCACCCATGCCCCACCTCACCCATGCCCCACTCTACCCCACCATCCCCTCAAGGATGCAGTCCTTGGACCTCTTAGCACAAAGTGCTGTGAGCTGAATGAGCTCTCATTCTTCGTAAGTCCTAGTCTGGATTTGGCTCTATCAGCAGAGAATAACAGAAACAAGCACAAATTCTAACTGCCCTCCTCTTGATGGATCCTGATCCTGGTTAGCACCCTGGCTCAGGGGGAACACGCAGGGCTGACCTCCCAGTCCCCTCCCTCAAGACACACACCTACTGACGGCATCTCCTTGGAGCCTGAGCTTGCTAAGGACACCTCACAGCAGCTCTGCATCCATGTGGAACCTCTGACCTTTGCCAAGTCGACATTGGACAGATGACAGGGAGAGGCAGAAGAGCAGGAGACATGAGGCACCAAGGCACTTCCCACAAGCCGTCCCCAGACCTGCAGACTGGCCTTTCTAGGGATGTAGTACCATCCTCCACGTGGCAACAGGAGCCTGTGTCTCCCTCACCCTCCCCAGACCCCAGGTGCTTCTCCATGAGTTCGGCCGAGAGGTCTCCCCACAGCTAGTGGCCTCTCAGCATCATCCTAACAAGCCAGGGCCTCACACAGAAGCCAGGCCTACCCTAGCCAGAAGCAATGCACGGAAGAGACTTCTACAGCCTGGGCTCAAACTCTCCCCAACCCCATTTCTGTGCTGCCATTGACCAGCGATGCCCACCATCTACCATCCACACAGCTCCCTGGCTTATTTGTTCCTGGCCTACTCACCTTTTCCTTCCCCGTGTTACCAGAAAACTCCTAGTCATTCACCAAAACCCCACCTCACCTCTTTCCTCATCTGCCCTGACTCAGTTGCCGGCTTTGTCCCTGGGGCCTGTCTGTTCCTGGCCCTGCAGCAGCATGGACCACACGGCAGCACTGGAGCTGCCCAGATCATATGCCCATACCCTACCCAGGGTCGGGGGCCTGTGTCACTGATGTCCCCGACTTGCATGTCACCATGTCATTGATAAGCAGTGCAGAGCGGCATGCTAAGCATGTAAGAATGGCCCCCATAGGCTCATAGATTTGAATGACTACTCATTGGGGAGTGGAGATGCTTAAGAGGGATTAGGGGGCGTGGCCTTGCTGGAGAAGTGTGTCACTGGGGGTGGACTGTGGGGTTTCAAAAGCTCAAGCCAGGCTCAGCCCCTCTCTCTCTCTCTCTCTCTCTCTCTCTCTCTCTCTCTCTGCCTGCTGCTGGCTGATCCAGATATAGACCCCTCAGCTACTTCTCCACCACGTCTGCCTACCTGCTGCCATGCTTTCTGCCGTGAATCCTCTGAACTGTGAGCCAGCCCCAGTTAGCTGCTTCACTGTGTAAGAACTGCCATGGTCATGGTGTCTCTTCGCAGCAACAGACAGTCAGGAAATCCCTCAGACGCGGCCATCCCCAGAACCTGGAAACAGACAGACCAGGCAGGCGGGGAGGGAGGCAGCAGCTTCCCTCCGTGGTTTTCACTTTGTGCCACCCCCACAGCGAGTATCTACCTACCCTCCCCACCCACCCCTCTGGCTAAGGCGTGACAGAGCCGTGTGGACAGGAAAGGGCATGCACAGAAAGAGGGTCACGTGCAGGGGAAACAGCTCAGGTTCAGCTGGAGTGGCGCTGCACACAGTCCCCAGACACCAGGAAGCCCTGCCGACCGGAAGCCCAGGTGGTGTAGGCTGGATTTGGGGGTGACACAAGCCAGCCGTGCATCTCCACATCATTTGGTCATTACCTGGTAACAATCCAGATTTGGGGCAGCACTTCCATCTGTCTGACTGCTGACTTAAAGCTGGGAAACAGAGTGGGCATCTGAGCTGGTGTTTCTTGCCCTGATTGGCTGTTGAAAACAAGTACAATGAATGTTCACCAGCACCTTCTATGGGGGCCTCATATAGACAAGCTAACATCCTTGTGGGGCCCGGTCCCCACACCAACACACAACATGCATTCCCGTGGATGAACTATCCACGTAACTCAGACGTTACGTGGCTGAGGCGCCTATTTAACTTATCAAAGCAGACCTGGCCTTCATCTGTTGCAGGGTAAAGCTGCCATGCCCCTCCTGCCACACCCAAACCCTCCAGCCCACAGGCTGGTCTGCTCTCCCCCACCCCCCGAGGCTGTATTCTCTATCACCCAGGCATCCTGGCTCCTGCCCCTCTCTTCCCCTCCCCCTCTCCTCACATGGCTCAGGGGCACCATCACTCTGGATTCCCACAGGTGCCCTGTTCTGACTCTGTACCCTTTATCTACAATAAACTTTCCCTCCACCACACCCAGGAGCAGCCCTGTCCTTTCCTCTCCTTTTTACTTTTTTCCTTCACCGGCCGCCAAAGAAGAACACATGACTCCATTTTTCTTTTTAGTTAAACTTTGAACATGTAAACGTCAACTTTTGGTTGTTTGATTTGTTCTTCCTCAATGATCTTGTGAATTATACATTGCAACTTGTTTCCACTGTTCTGAGAATTGACTGAGCATAAAATGTGTCTCGGTGTGTTAACTGTCTGACCGTAAGCCTATAACATGTACCTTTCCCATGATCATAAAAGTAACTGCAAAGTTCTGCATTTTTGCCTTAAAACAGCCTTTCTGTTTCAGGTCTGGGCTGGCTGCTCTCATTCTCCTGCTCCTAAAGAGAGTATAAGTCTGGCCCAGCCGTAAAAATAAAATTTTTGCCTTGTAACATTCCACTGTTAGCTACTGGTTTTTTACATCATAACAATGTTCTGGTGAGAAAATTCTGCAATGAGTTAAACTGCTAGGCTTCAATTATTTAGCTCAGAAAACTTAAGAAACCAAATAAACAAGCAAGTAGAACTGCCTTGTAGACAGAGAAGACAAAGTCATCCACCCTGGTCTCAATACAGGGATGAGAACAGGAACCTTCTATAGTAAAACCCTAGAATTCACTAAGTAGCTCAGGCTGGTCTCCAGCACCCAGACCCTCCTGACTCAGCCTCCCTAGTGGCCAGAACTCCAGGCATGCACCACCACACCCAGCTCAAGTGATAGTTCTAGTCTTAGAGAAGCCGCCATAAAAGAGGCATTGCTCTTATTTTGATGGCTTAAGTCTGGGAGCCCAGGTTTCCATGTTACCTGACATCTACTTTTTAGACATGGCAAGAGCTGCTTTGCCCAGATCCTTGCTGATAAGGAATCAGTCAATAATTTACTCTGCCCGGTTCTTCTTACCATGGAATACAGGCCAACCCAGGAGCAAGCTACTCATTTATAAGTTCACCTTTGGTCTGCCTTGAGGCTCAAAATACAGGGGTGGAGAACCTACCCACTGGGGTCCTTTGAATCACCCTTTGCCCCCTTGAAAGCCAAACACGGGTTAAAGTGTCTGCTACAAACCATGCCTGCTTGTTACATCTTAACCAGTTCTGGCTAGTTTTATGTCAACTTCACACAAACTAGAGGCATATGGAAAAAGAGAACCTTAAGTGAGAACATTGCCCCCAGTGGACTGATGGATGGAAGAGGCCGGGCTCATTGTGGGTGGTGCCGATGTGGGGTAGGCAGCCCTGAGTGCAAGAAAGCAAACGGTTCCCTGCACTCTGCCCAAAGGTGGGTTATGAGTCTCAGCATCTGCTTTGATACCCTGTAGGGTAGAGTCTTTCAGAGGTCCTCTGTGGTGGGATCCTGTCCTTTTTCCTGTTTTCTCCCTCTTCCAATGTCCATCCCGTTTGCCTTTCTGAGTGAGGACTGATCATCTTACCCAGGGTCCTCCTTGCTTAGCTTCTTTAGGTGAACAGATTTTAGTATAGTTTATCCTATATTATATGTCTAATATCCATTTATAAGTGAGTATATACCATGTGTGTCTTTCTTCTTCTGGGATACCTCACTTAGAATGATCTTCTCTAGTTCCATCCATTTGCCTGCAAATTTCATGATTTCCTTGTTTTTAATAGCTGAGTAGTATTCCATTGTGTAAATGTACCACAATTTCTGTATCCATTCCTCCATTGAGGGACATCTGAGTTGTTTCCAGCTTCTGGCCATTACAAATAAAGTTGCTACGATCATGGTTGAGCAAATGTCTTTGTTGTATACTTGACCATCTTTTGGATATATGTGTAGGATCTTGAGGTAGCACTATTCCTAATTTTCTGAGAAAGCCCCAGATTGATTTCCAAAGTGGTTGCACAAGTTTACATTCCCACCAGCAGTGGAGGAGGGTTCCCCTTTCCCCATATCCGCTCAGCATGTGTTGTCACTTGAGTTTTTGATCTTAGCCATTCTGATGGGTGTAAGGTGAAATCTCAGGGTCGTTTTCATTTGTATTTCCCTGATAGCTAAGGATTGCAGGAAATCTTATAAAAGAAGGAGGAGATAGAAAGACCTGGAGGGGACAGGAGCTCTACAAGGAGAGCAACAGAACTAAAAAATCTGGGCACAGGGGTCTTTTCTGAGACTGATACTCCAAAGAAGGACCATTCGTGGAGATAACCTAGGACCCCTGCACAGATGTAGCCCAGGGCAGTTCAGTGTCGAACTGTGTTCCCTAGTAATGGGAACAAGGACTGTCTCTGACAAGAACTGACTGGCCTGCTCTTTGATCACCTCCCTCTCAGAGAGGTTCAGCCTTACCAGGCCACAGAGGAAGACAATGCAGACAGTCCTGATGAGACCTAATAGGCTAGGGTCAGATGGAAGGGGAGGAGGACCTCCCCTATCAGTGGACTGGGGGAGGGGCATGGAAGGAGAAGAGGGAGGAAGGGTGGGACTGGGAATGGAAGAGGGAGGGGGCTACAGCTGGGATACAAAGTGAATAAAGTGTAATAAATAAAAAATAAATAAATTTTTTAATAAAGAAAGCAAATGAACAAGCCTTGAGGAATAAGCCAACCAGCAGCGCGCTGTTCCAGTTACTGTCCCGCCTTCCCACACAGATGGCTATAAGGTGAGGTCAGCCCTCATGTGTCTTAGCACAGCAAGGGATGCCCTCACTGGGATGCCAGGCAGCTACCAAAGCAGGTGAGCACAAGGCTCCAGAGACGCACAAGTCCCAAGTCACATCTGTCCCGGGCCTTTGTCTGACACACGCCTACCAGTGCACGCGGCGCTGACCACTAAGATAAAAACAGATGGTGGATTCGGGCTCCTCAAGGCAGATGCATCTTGCCCAGGCAGATTAGAGAGAACACGTGAGGAGAAAGAGCAGTGTGGAACACAGGACATCCGAGAGTAAGGCCAGGATGGCGGCACCGGAGCACCCCCGCCCCCATGGTTCCCACGCAGGAGGCCAGCTCAGGAAAACACAGCCTGGGTGTCCTCTGGTCCCCACTACCGGGTCCCAGCCACTACCACCAGCTTCCAGACTGGGCCTGACTTCCGTTCCTCCCCGTCTGTGGTCCTCGTGCCACCTCATTCAGTCTTGGGGCTGCCCATGCTGGCTCAGGATAGACCCCGTCTTCACTGTGGCCCTGGGGGCAGGGTCACAGAAATTGACATACTACCCGGACAGGGGACCCAGAAACTGGAAAGAACAGAGGCAAGAGTCTCAGACTCGTGCGCTCCCAACCCTGCCTGGAGACTAGAAATCTGAGAACAAGATCTCAGCACTGACAGCTCCTCCTGACGCCTCTGGTTAAAGGTAGACTGAGGCACAATGAAATGCCTAAGGGTGTGTTTGCGCAAACAGTGATGGTCACCGTGTCTGTGGCTCTGTAGAGGGACGTAGTTGGGGACGGTGGTCTCGTGGGTGACACTATCAACCTTCCTACATCTGCAAACAGTCAATGCCTGTATTCAGAAAAAGAGGAAACAACCAGAAGGCATTAATAAACTCATACGACTGGGCCTCTCCAGAAAGAAGAGAAAAGAAGCCAAAAAGTCTTAACCAGTCCAACACTTCATCTGCTTTCCATAGATGCTGCTCTGAGTTCCTCTCTGGAAGCCACACGTCTTAGTTAGGGCTACTATTACTGTGGCAAAACAAACTTGGAGAGGAAGGGCTTCTTCAGTCGCACTTTCCTGTCACAGTTCATCATCAGAGCGGTGAGGGCAGGAACCCAGGCAGGGCAGGAACTAGGGGCAGGAGCTGATGAAGCGGAAGAGGGTGCTGCTCTCTGGCTTGTTCCTCATGGCTTGCTCAGCTGCTTTCCTAGAAAACCCAGGACCACAGCTGGGACCGCCCCACCCACAGTGGGCTGGGCCTCCCCCATAGAGCAGGGATTAACGCCCATAGGCTTGCTTCCATGGAGGAATTTTCTCAACTGAGTGTCCTTCTTCTCTGATAACCAGCTTGTATCAACTTGACATCAAACTAGCCAGGACACCACATGTTACTCTTTCTGTGGCAACATGGAGGAATTTTAAGAGGGAAAAAAAAAAGTAGTAATGAGGTCATGACTTACTAGGAGAGAAGGGTCCCCTGCCCCTCAAGGTCGGGGGCATCAGGGCGCAGCACGGTGTGGAAGAAAGCACAGAGTTCAGGGGAGGGTGACGCTCAGCCTGGCCAGCCGCAGGAGGGACGGGGTAGGAGGGACGGGTGCTGACCGAGAAGGGCACAGCAGAACCGCAGCTAGGCAGGCACGCCACATGGGTGGAGCCCAGAAGGCCTCCATATGCTGGAGCGAGGCGTGCAGTGTGACCGGGCAGGACTCGGATCTCTCCTTTGGGGCCGTCGCTATTTCACACAGCCAACTTGAGCTGTACTGTTGTGAATACAGACTTTTCTCTTGTATTCCATAAGCCTCACAGTGTGGTGTGTGTTTGAATTGAGTTAGCTGTGCTAACTGAGCGCGCGCACAAAGATGTATGGGTTTTATGCAAATATTGCACCGTCTTCCAGCAGAGACTTGAGCATGCGTGGACGCTGTTTCCTGCAGGGCTGCTGGAGCCCTCCCGGACACCAGGCAATGGTTGGTAACTATAAAAACTTACTGTGCCATGGTTCCAAAAGTCAAAAATCCGTGTTTCCCCGGAGCTGAGAACAAGCTTCCTCCCAGGCCTGTCAGCGTAACAAAGATCGCTTCCTGTCACTTAGTATCAGGACCCTTTTCATACTGTCCCATCGCCCGGACAGCCTTCTGGGATTGCCTTGCCGGATGGAGGCCATGAGCCTGTGAGCAGAAACGCGTGCCCTCCCAGGAGCCCTGCAGGAAGGCCCAGCTTCCCACACCCCCGGTCCTGTGCCTCGCAGAGGCTTCCAGGTGCTCACAGATCATGGGTCACGATCTCCAACAAGACTTTGCACTCGGTCAGCTGAGGTTTTGCTCTCAGTTGGGGAAAGCCTTCTGCTGGCCCGTGTCAGGGGAAAGCTGGGCGTGCAGGACTAGACTGCCACACCATCTCCTGAGAGAGCTCTTCCCAGCCCCACCTGTCACCGTCTGCAAGTTCTCCTTCAGATGGGTAGTTAACAAGTAGAAGAATAATAGGGTCCGAGGCTAGAAAGGTGGCTCAGTGGTTAATAGCACTGTTCTCTTCCTGAGGACCCGGGTTCAGTTCCCAGCACCCACGTGGCCGATCCAGCCCCAGGATCTAAAGCCCTCTTCTACCTCACCTTTCTACCTCAGCTTTCTGCACACGTGTAATACACACTCAAATCCTTTTTAAGCACTTACATAACTTTTAAGTTAAATAGAAGAATTTCAAAGGGAAAAAATTAATAGCTCATCTATCCATGCAATGTAAGCAAAAGAAGGGGAAAGAATATTCCCAGTAGAGCTGATTAGATTTCCCAGTAGAGCTGATTAGATTAGATTTGGTCAATTATGTTTGGATTTTCAGGTTAGAAGGAAGGCCGCTGACTCTGAGACGTCAACATTTTAGAGAAAGGACAGAGCAACTTTTAAGAAAAACATTTAGTCAGGATCAGGCATTTAAACTCAGGCATTGCTCTGACTTACCACCAGCGTGAACAAAGACTAGCAGAAGATTCTAGCTCACACAACAAGCAATTTTACTTCACTGCAGAGCACCTGAGCCTGGGCTGGGAGTCTCTGCGCCTTCCGCTGTACTGTTCTCCTGCACACTAAGATTATGAAAATGTATTCAACTTAGTTGAATTTTAATAACTGCCATTTCTATAAGAAGGTACCAACTCCTCTAACTTTTTCTTTCTATGCTCAGTTCTGATAAAATGTACTCTAATTTCTCTAGTTACTTTCTCTCAGCAGCTGGGTTATTTATCATTTCCGAATGCCTGAGGATTATTTAAAGATATCTTTCTGTTGCAGAATTCTGATTTGATTTCATGTTGGTCTAAGAACATAGGTTTCATCATTTTTATCATTCTTTTTTTAAGATTTATTTATTTATTTATTATGTATACAGTGTTCTGTGTGCATGTGTGCCTGCACACCAGAAGAGGGCACCAGATCTCACTCTAGATGGTGGTGAGCCATCATGTGGGTGCTGGGAATTAAACTCAGGACCTTTGGAAGGGCAGTCGGTGCTCTTAACCTCTGAGCCATCTCTCCAACCTCCACATTCTTAATGTGTTGGGCTTATCTTATGACCCCAAATATGGTGTATCTTGGTCTATCTTGTGTAAACACTAGAAGCCAATGTACACACACACACACCCCCTACAGCTGGAAGGTAAGCTGTCGCCCTGTCACTCGGTGTCACAGTGCCACTCACCGTCTGCCCTTGACTGTCAGTGACTAAGAGAGGAACGCTGGCATGTCAGCGTACTGCTGACCATGGGTTCATCCGTGTCGCTCTCCACTCCGCCACACTCGCTCCACGGAAAGCTAGGCACACAGGTCTTCTTGGTGAGCTCGCGTCATCACATACATGTGTGTCCGTGCACCATATACATACAGAGGCTAGAGGAGGGTGTCAGGTCCCAAGACTGAAGTGACACACAGGTGGGAGTTGCTGTGTGGGTGCTGCACAGGCCCGGGCCTCTGGGAAAACAGAACACGTCCTTACCTGCTGAGCCAGCTCTCCCGCCCCTGTGAGAGCTTCCTGAAGCTGCTCTTAGATTAGCCCTGGAAGTCTGCGTTTTAGGATTTTCTAGAAACGTTGGGCCAGTTAGCTCATGGGTCAACATTAATCTAACATACCATGACAAGTTCACCCCAAATTTCTCTTTTCTACCTACACACTTACTGAGTTCTAGGAAGCAATGGTGTTTCTGGAAAAAAAAAAAACAAACAAACAGCAACACCCCCCCCCCCAAAAAAAAACATATTCTAAGTACAACCATTTGTTTTCAGACTCCATTTAACCATAGGAAGAAACTAAGTTCAAGGTCCCAGGCCCTAGGGCAGCTGGGGACTTCCCAATAGCTGAACAGCTTCTGTTGTAAGGAGACAGTTGTCTGAGTTCAGACATGTCAGGGACAACTTCTCCACCTTGCTGGCAGGGTCCACTAAGTTCACGTTCCCAGGCCCAGGAACCTATCCTGGAACCTATCCTGATGGAAACTCCCTTGCTCGACCCCTCATGTCAAAATATGACTGGATGATGCTACAGCCCACCCCACTCCCCCTCGCTTTACGGTTTCATCCTTTAAATGTGCTGCACAGCATCCCTTCAGGGTCAGAGTTCAGTTCCGGAGTCTGTCCAGCTTGGCACCTTACCCTGTCTGGAGGCATCAAGAGAATGAAGAAGGGACAGAGCATACAGAAAAGCTGGCATCAGGAAGGCTGTGCTTGCTCAGACAGGGCATACCTACTACCCACAGCAACCGGAAGCCTCAGCACTTCTACAGCACAGAGGCAGGGCTCTGTGGACTCCCTGGAGGAGGAGGCAGCCCTGAACTATCAGCTGTGGCTCGATTACCATGAATGTTTGTCATCCGCATTGACCTGGTGTTTGTGTTATCTTGGATTCATCTCAGGACCTGCTCATCTGAACAATCACAACTCCTGTCACGCACGTGAGCGGGAGTGGCTCTCCTGTGTGGTCTGTCTGCTCCTGGCCGTGATGGGAATGGGCCCGAGCATCCCTATTGATTCCTATTTCCCCTATCTTTAATTTATTTTTAAGGGACCAAAAGCAGAGCACAAGCAGACATGAGGAAAAATGACAAAACCTTAATTGCCAAAATGTGTATTCACTCATCTTGTATCGGTGAAACAAGATGGAGAAACATTTCCATCTTCAGTATTCATTTCTCTGAGCTTTGTTTTTATTTGTTTCTTTTTCAGGGGGTGTGAACACACCATGGCTCACATGTGGGGTCAGAAGACAGCCTGAAGATGTTGGTTTTCTCTTCTGCTACCTGGGTGCTGATGATTGAATTCAAAACACCTAGGCCAGCAGCAAGTGTCCACACACAAACACACACACACTGAGGCATGCCTTGGGCCCCTCTGCTCATTTTATGGTTTGCAAACCACTCTATATTTTTATTTTTTAAAAACTTATCACTTAATAACCCTTTATTGACTAGCTGCTGTAGGCAAGTCATCAGCTAAGGTCTGCCGGTCCCTACAGAAGGCTCATCTGCTCATTCTACCCTGCACTCTCAAAGGCAAATCCGCCATGTGCTACCTTCGCAACGACTGCTATGTGAGTGTTTTCTCCTAAGTCATCCCTTTGGGAGCAGGGAGGGAAGCTTCTAAGACTCAAGATAATAATAATAAGTGACACACATAGCCCAGGACAGAAAAGTTAGAAGATTCACAAGGCCCCACCGCAAGGTTACATAAGCAGTAACAAGTCATACAGGACATCTGGGTACCATGCCCAGCATGGCTTGGCACCTTACCCTGTCTGAAGGCATCAAAAGAATGAAGAAGGGACAGAGTATGGCAGAAAAGCTGGCATCAGGAGGGCTGTGCTTGCTCAGACAGGGCATACCTACTACCCACGGCAATCGGCAGCCTCAGCACTTTGACAGCACAGAGGCAGGGCTCTGTGGAATCCCTGGGGGAGGAGGCAGGGCTCTGTGGACTCCCTGGAGGAGGAGGCAGCTCTCTACAGGTCTCTTTAAGTCTCTGGAGATTCCCTGGAAGAGGAGGCAGGTCTCTGTAGACTCCCCAGAGGAGGAGACAGGTCTCTGTAGGTCTCTGTAGGTCTCTATAGGTCTCTGTAGGCTCCCTGGAGGAAGAGGCAGCTCTCTGTAGGTAATCATCTGTGGACTTCCTGGAAGAGGAAGCTGAAGTTGCAAGCTTCTGCATAACCTGGTCCTAAGTGCTTGCACACACCTTCAACATCAGCACTCAGGCAAGAGGAAGGCTTTGGCATCCCTCTGGAACTTGCTGCATTCTGTGTCTGGACCTCACTGTATTCTGTATCTGGCCTGGGGAGGTTCTGCCACTCCCATAGGTCTCAGGCACTAGTCTTTGACATGGCCAAGCCCGTGCCAACAATACAGGCTCCTCACTTAGGGCTTCCTTGGCTCCCCATGTCCAGCAATGCAGCCTTGGTGAATCATCAGCCATGCTGGTGTGGGTGTCTCAGGACACAGTTGTTCTTAAGTTATCAAGAGTCTGTAAGCCCCGCCCCTTCACCTATTACATCCTCCAGTAAATGTGTGGTTCTCTAAACTAGACCAAGGGAATCATTCCTCCAGTCTGTTATTGGTGTTCCCTGCAATAAACAGACATTTGTTCAAACTCCCTAATAAAACTCACACAACAACAAAACCATCCTAGGATTCTACACTATTCAATTCCATACTCTTCAAAGAAAGTCATTCATCAGTTAAGAATTTACATTCTGGACTCTAACCCCATATAAACCTCTATCCCTCTTTTTTTCATTTGTGAATTTTTGAGACAAGGTTTTTCTGCATAGCCTTGGCTATTCCGGAACTCACTCTTCAGGCCAGGCTGACCTATATCTGCCTCCTGAGTGCTGGGATTAAAGGCATGCACCACCACAACTGGTGAATAAACCTCTATTCCTCAAAACTATTTTTTTCTTAAGTTACAGATCAGACAATGTGTTTTTACAAATATGTTGACCATTCTTCTATGTAAAGTTCGGCCTTGGGGTTGTCATCTCAGGTTCTGCTGGAACTGCTACTCCTGTCAACCTCTTATCCAATGTTTTTTAGCCACTGGGAGAGTAGCTCTGTGAAATGCACAAGTGTCTTAACAAGTTGAAGACATAAATTATTCCTAGAATTATTAGTTAAAACAAGAAGGAAGTGAAGCTGATGTGTCGGGATTTTGCTCATGAGAAACCAAGCTGCACAGCATGTTCTCTATTTTCTCCAGCTAATGACAGGGTGCCGCCTGCTGCACCGCCATTTCAGAAGCTTCCAAAGCGTGACTTGAAATTTACCAATCCGGAGTCCCTCTGCAAGAGGGGACACACAAGGAGTTTCTGGAGACTCTCTGGACCTCAAAAACACTGGGTATAACTCACAAAAGCTCAGGTCTGTTCATGCTAAATGCTTCGCAGACACCCTCCTGTCTTGCTGCCTCCCTTTGTGTCGCTCTGCACTCATGAGCCAGAAGAGCCTCTTTAGCAGACAGCACACTGAGGACCACTCTCTGCCTTGCTCCTCCCACTGCTAACATACGGCTCTAGGGAAGAAACTTAGCTCTTTAGCTCCCTTCTTGAGCTTGAATAACCAACATTCCTGCCTCCACCTTATCCCATTCACACAGAAAGGGGAGAGTGTGCTCAAACTCCAGCGTACACACACAGACACACACCCCCCACACGTGATTTCCTAAGTTCAGTACCAGCAGTTCCTGTGTGGATTTCTGTCTATCCATGTGATTTGCAAGCTTACTTGAATAATGAATAAGTTTACTTATTCATTTCTATTTCTTGTAAGTTATTGTCCCTTTCAAGAGTCTATCGTCAGATCTTTGAATTTTAGAATCGTTTGCAAAATAAATGAATAAATGAAAACATCAAAATTCAGCAAGCATGAAAAAATAGCATAGGAACAAGAGATAAGTTGAAGGAATGCCAATAGAATAATTAGGAAGGTTTGTGGGTATTGATGAGATCAGATTCATAATTTCGAAAATAAGAATCTCAAAAGTATGAAGTCAGGGCTAGAGAGATAGCTCAGTGGTTAGGTGCACAGGCTACTCTTCCAAATAACCTGGGTTCAATTCCCAACATCCACATGGCAGCTCACAATCATCTATAACTCCCGCTTCAGGGGATCTGACATCCTTTTCTGGCCTCTGTGGGCACCAGGCATGCATAGGGTAACAGATATACATGAGGGCAAAACGCTTATACACATGAAATACTAACAATGCATTTTAAAGTAGGGAGGAAACTACTTCCGCTATCACAGGATGTGAAGGGGTGCTTGGGGATAAAATCGAGTGGCTTTCCCCAAACTCGTACCAGAACCTCAGAAGTGCATATACTGATTGTGGCATACTCCACACACACCCCAGATCCCACCAGCAGACAAGCTACAGAGAAAAGCTCATACAGACCTACCTGACAAAGTAAAGAGAGCTTTGCTTCTGTCTTTCATGTGAAAACCTGAAGGAAAGTGTGGCCATTTGAATGAGAATGGTCCCCATTGGCTCCTATGTTTGAATGCTTGGTCCCCAGTTGCTGGGACTGTTTAGGAAGGCGAAGGCTGTGCGGCCTTGCTGTAGGAGGTATGCCCAGGCTTAGTCCCTGCCTCCCTCTCTCTCCAAACTGTAGATCAGATGTAAGCTCTGCCGCAGCACCATTCCTGCCTTCCTGATGCCATGGTCCTCACCATGATGATAATGGACTCACTCTGAAATTATCAAGCCCCAATAAACTCTTTTATGAGTTGTCTTAGTCACGGTGTCTCTTCACCGCAATAGAAAAGTAACTACAACAGAAGGGATACAGCAGGGAAAGCAGAAAGCAGGGACAGCACATTGCTGGAGTTAGCAATGTCCCACAGATAAACCAAGAGTTATGATCGTTTTAAAATAAGCTACTTCGCTTTCCAAGTGCCTGCCTCAGGTGAAGCCCCAATCACCTGCTCAGGATGCTGCTGTTCAAGCCACACTCCCTGGAGGACACAGCATAGAAGCTTAGCTGCCGTGCAAAGATTCACTTTGGAAGGATGCATGTTTCCCTGCTTTTCTCCATATGCAAATCAAGAGCCTGTCTAAATATGCACACATGCTTTACACACACAGCCGTTTTTACACACCTTTCTTTCCTGTCATCACATTTATTGTTGAATCCTGACATAATCTAAATAGTTCTTGTTGAGGTCAGGCTGTGTGCTGCCTGAAGTGACTCTGTTTTTACAGGCTGTGTCGTAGGCTGTAAGACTTAACGTTGAGGGCAAGCACACGGGTAGGTAGGCTGCCTCTGCACCTCACTCTTAGACACACAAACAATGCAATCTGTCCAGCATTATCCACGGGGTACGGCCCGAAACTAAGACAGTCAGTCATCTAGCCCTCAGAATTTAGCTTTGCATTTCTGTCAGCCTTCTGTGAAATTCCTTGAACTGATTTATGGCATTAGGGCCCTTCTACAAGATGAAAAATAAAGGATAGAAACATAGACAGATAAATAGACAGACAGATGGACAGACGGACAATTGATAGGCAGATAGATAGATTTGCTATGTTTTAGTCACTTTTAAAATTGCTATGGCCACATGCCTGACAAAAAGAAATTAAGGGATGAAGGCTGTGCTTGGGCTTAATTCAAGGAATACAAAGATGGAAAGCATGAGGACAAAGGCAGGATGCCTTCGTCGAACCCTGATGACCTTTCAGCCATAAAAATAAAGCCGCCAAGACCTTTAATATTTCAAAACTTATGCCTCTCCTGGGCAGACTCTCAACTAGCTCATCTGAATTAACCTGGCCACCTAGCCCCATCCAGCCACATTGTAGCTGTACCTTCCAAGCCTGTGGGCATGTGCAGCTCCTCTTCCTCCTTCCCAGAATTCCTCTTTTTCTCCCAGGAAGCCCCAACTTCCACTTCTCTCTTTGCCCAGCTATAGGTTGTCAGCCTTTTTATCATCCAATCAGAAATAATATGAGAGGAAAGGTTTACACAATGTCATCTTGGGTAGGTGAGGGTTTGCTGATAAAGCAGAAAGGATCCTGAAGGGGCAGTTAACATTTGAATACATAGTAAGTCCTAGAGAACACCAACAGGAAGCTGTCTGGCCACACTGCACCTGAGGTCAACTGGCTTCCTCCTTTTTGTGCAGCCCACGAGCCCAGCCACTCCTTGTTAGGGTGGGTCTTCCCACGTCAATGAACATAATCCAGAAAGTCCTTCACATTTCTAAAGATTTCCCTCCAAAGTGATTCCATTTCCTGTCAAAGTTGACAATATCAACCATCACAAGTCAGGCCCTTGTCAAGTTGACACCCAGGCATTCCGCTTTTGAGCTATAACCTTCCTCCTCTTGTCCCTTCTGATAATGCAAAAGGAATTCAACCCAACTTCTAAAAGTGTCTTTGTCTCAACACTTTTCAAAATTCCGAATCCTAGGTCTCCTCTAAGACTCAAGGGTCTTGTCTGTGAGCCCCTATAGAATTAAACCAAGCTACGTAGTTCCAGCATATAGAGATAGAAAGCACACATTCCCGATTCAAGAGGAAGTAGTAGGGGACAGCGAAGAATGATGAGAACAAGGCAGGGATGATGCTCACTGTCCCATGTCTAGCATCTGGGGCTTGTGACAGAATTGTCTGGGCCCCAAAGGTCTTGCATGGTCCCATCTGTCTAGGTCTGCCCCGTAGCTACTTTCTTCCTCAGTGGAATCCAAGGATCCTGGCATCTTCAATACCCTGGTATTTCCATGGCAACTTAAACTTCATTCTCACAGCTTTATAATATGATCTCTCAGCCCTCCATGCAGGAAATTCTGACCTTGTCACGCATTGCCTTGGTGGCTCTTGACAGTGTGAAGCAAGACTCCATGGCCCCCTCAGTCTTACATCTTCCACGCTTAAAGAATCAGTGTCATGTGACTGATGCAGCCAAGTTCTGCTGCCAGCTTGGTAAGCTGCCAGGGTCCTTGTCCACCATTCTGTTACTGTGCCCTGATTTGGGGGAAACACTTTCCTGGGGCTTTGTTAGAGTTCATTAGAGAGCCCTTCCAGCAGCATCACCCATTTGGAGTTTCCTTTCAAGAGAATTTGCATTTTTACAAGACATTGTCCCACCATGGAATCAAGTTGTTCTTTAATAGTGTTGGTCAC